GAAATGGCTTAAGCTCTAACAGAATCATGTTATAAGCAGATTTATTGTATGGCCTCTTCTTTAATCACCTGCAAAGGTTTATTAGCAGAAAGGGAACATAAATATGTAATGAAGAATTTTGCATTTAACTAAACTTTAAAAAATTTTTGTATTGTATTTTGGGGGTGCCTCATTGAAAGGATGAGTCATTTTAATAAGGGTTCCAAAATTAAAAATGAATTTATTTGTAAAGTGGAAAAATATGACAAAATTAATGACAATGATTCAAATAATTATCAATTATACTCAAAATTAAAATTAGCAAGTGTACAAAATGTGAATATAAATTTTGTACTAGAAATACTCAACATTGACATCACTTCAATAAAACATCATCTATCATATTAAATAATATTGTTAATTTGAATGCTATTGGCTCAATATTGGTACAAAGTTTTATGTTTGTAATATTGAAATTACATCTGAAAATAGTTTAAATCATTACTGTTTTTAAAAAAATTGTTTTAGAGAGAGAGAAATAGAACATAGGGAGCTGCTGAGTGTTTTTGATTTCTTTTTTTCTTAAAAGAGGTTCTCATATTATTGTAGGTTTGGAAAACATTGAAATAAAGTTTGACAATTGGATAAGATGCTTCTGTTCTCCAAATTTCAGAGAGTAGCTGGGAGAATCTGGCCACTCCAGGGGTCTAAGATGTGCTCTTTTCGTTAGGCAGGGTGACTTTATGTTGTGCTCTAATAATACTTAACCCACAGGATCTCAATGGATTAATACAAAATTTCCTACTCATGCCAAGTCTGATGCAGGTTGGGCACCCTTCTCCATTCTGTACCTTCACCAGCTCCTGGGGTCTTTCTTTCTTCTAGATCTTCCTTCTATCCTTTGCAGCTGCTCAAAAACATTGTTGGGAGAGGAGATCTTCCAGGAGAGGCCCCCTGTTTTGAGTCTCTTCCCACATTCTTGTGGCATAGCCACTAAGGGTAAGCTCAGCCAGGAAAGGCTGTGAGGGAAGCCTGACTGTGCCTCTTTAGTTAAGTCCCAAATGAGTGCTGTGGCTGGGTGATCTGGATTCTTGATGTTGGGCTCTGAGTCTATTCCGACGATTTTGTGTAAGAAGTCTTTTGGTTTGGAGCCAGTTCTTTCTGTGTGGTTAAAGAAAATATTCTATTCATTATTATTATGTACTTCTGTATATGGAAAGGAAGGCTGATCTCTTTAGAGCGCTGTTCTAACTCAACCATGGCGACTTCTCCCTGGAAAGATTCTTTTCTTTTCCTTTTTTTGTTATACCATAATTTATTCATTGTTCTTGTAACACCATTACAGAAGACACAAGAGTTTTTGTTTTTTTTATAGAAAAGCTATTTAGAGATTCTGAGTTTATTGAAGATCTCTGATTCAAATGCAATTCCCATACAAAATGTTTTTTAAGGCAAAATAATCTTTGATTTTAGTTATTTTGCACAAGTGATATCATTGTTCATGTGGAACCACAAGGATTTATGAAAATTCTGGCATGTCTTGCCAACTATTCCAACTGAATATTTGGAAAAATATCCTATGTGTGACAATGTGCTTCCACTTCAGAGTGTTAAACCCAAGCAAGAATTTCAAGCATGCCATGGTAAAATGAAAGAAATAACTACATTTAAAGTAAATTCTAAGCAACTGTTTGCTTTATGTATTTTTCTCCCAACTCTTCTAGTCTTAATAAGATTTTCTAACTATTTAAATTGAACTATTTAGTTGATTTAAGTCGAACCAATCCAAGAAACAAGAAACTAATGAGTCATAACTTGAGAAAAATAGATGAGAATTAAGTTGACCAAGAGTGAGAAGAAAAAAGGGAAATAAAAAGTTCTATTGATTTTTTTTTACCATCTAAAATATCTCATATTTATCTACTTTGCAATGTCAACACCACCTAGAGGGATGCAGTAGCTTCCTAATTGTTGTATCTGTACCTACTCTAGCTTTTGCATCTCTGATCTGTTTTCAATACATTAACCTGCCAAGATGATCTTTTAAAATGCAAATCTAATCCTATCACCCCCTGCTTAAAATAATCCTAAACTTTCCCATCGTTATTAACATAGACCAAAATCCTCACCAGAAAAATCCTCACTTGCATAATCTGCTCCCTCCTTGCTTCTCTTGTTTATTTTCACTATAATGCCCTTTTCACTTTCCTATGCTCCCAGCCCATAGGCCATTTTTCATTTCCTTAAAAGTGCCAGGTTTCTCTTCCTCAGAGCCTTCCAAGATATTTTCCCTGCCTGGAATTTTCCCTCCTTCTTCCTCTAGTTAAAATCCATTCGGCCAGGCGCGGTGGCTCACGCCTGTAATCCTAGCACTCTGGGAGGCGAGGAGGGCGGATTGTTTGAGCTCAGGAGTTTGAGACCAGCCTGAGCAAGAGCGAGACCCCGTCTCTACTAAAAATAGAAAGAGATTAATCGGACAACTAAAAATATATAGGAAAAATTAGCCGGGCATGGTGGCACATGCCTGTAGTCCCAGCTACTTGGGAGGCTGAGGCAGGGGGATCGCTTGAGCCCAGGAGTTTGAGGTTGCTGTGAGCTAGGATGACGCCATGGCACTCTAGCCCAGGCAACACAGTGAGACTCTGTCTCAAAAAAAAAATCCATTCAATCTGTAGACCTCAACTCAATTATCACTTGGAACAGCCTTCTCTGACACCTCACCCAGTTTTCAGGCTAGATAAAATTCCCCTATGTAAGCTCTCAAAGCACCTTCCTATTATTTATCATTAGGTCAGTTTCAGTGTTCCATGAAAACAAGAACTATTAATATATCTATTGTTATCTCAGCATTCTATTTCCAGAAACCCAGTACGATGCCTACTAGCACATAGTAAGTACCCAGTATTTACTCAGTGAGTGATGGACAAAAATCTTCTTAAGCTTTAACTTTCCGCTTGAACATAACTTTTTATTTTTACTTTGCTATGTAATTTTTATATAATTATTTTCAATTGACACATAATAATTATACCTATTTATGGAGTGCAGTGTGATATTTTGATACATGTATACAATGTATAATGATCAAATCAAAGTAATTAGTATATCTATCACCTCAAATATTTATCATTTCTTTGCCTTGGGGACATTCAAAATCCCCTTTTCTAGATATTTGAAAATATACAATAAGTTCTTGTTAACTATAGTCACCCTACCATAGTTTTAGTTTTAGTGCTATAGAATACTAGAACTTGTCTTATGTAGCTGTAATTCGATACCAACCTGGGCAATATATCGGGACCCCATCTCTACAAAAAATTTAAAGAAGTAGCTGGGTGTGGTGGCATGCACCTATAGTCCCAGCTACCTGGGGGCTGAGAAAGGAGGATCCCGAGTCCAAGAGTTTGAGGTTGCAGCGAGCTACGATTATGCCACTGCACTCTAGGTGGGGCAACGGAGCAAGACTCTGCATCAAAAAATAAAAATAAAGTGTCAAACGAACAACTTCTTATATGTAAGAGACAATATATAGGCTAAAAGAAGCAAGAAAATGAGGATATTGAGGACAGATTTGATCTCATGTTGCTAGAAACAATCACAGTCTTGGAAAAGAGGCTTTCTCACTTTAGAAAAAAGGGCCCTATTGGCCTGAGGGCAGGCAGCTTGTTTTTCTATTCTATTCTCACTTTCCTTGAAATTGATCTCTTGGTGTGATAGTTACTCTTTCAGCCCCAGGGGTCTATAAGCTTAAGTGGGTAGGAAGAAAAAGCTTCTTTTCAAAGAATGGTCTTGCTATTGGCAACAATTAACACTACCCTCATTTTACGGGTCCTGACTTTCACTCTAATGAAACTGCTGGTTGCCTATGTCAGATTTCATGATCAAACTGCTCCCATGTCTTTTATTCCTCCCAGAAGTTTCTTTCAGCTCTGGTCTAATGGTGGTACTCCTTCTAGGATTCCAGGGTTAATGCAAATGTATTTTTACTCTGTCCTTAATTTTGTCAAAAATTATTTATGTTTTATTTTGCACTGCCTTCATCAGTCTGCTCAGTTTCAACTATGGACACTAAAATCTATCAATGTTCCCTTGCAGGTGTGGTACCCAGAATTGAGTGGAGTATTCTAGTCATGTCGTGAGTGGATGGCAATATTATTTTACTTACTTATCTGACTATTATTGTTATTATTTATTGATCTAAAGTCACTGAATATTCGTAATTCCACTTGAAGTAGACACAGATAATCTTACTTCATTTTCCTAGGTGAGGGCCCTTGTTCTAGGCTGTTATTTTGTAGATCCAATCTCATTTTTAATTTTACCAGTCAAAATAATTATCTCCATATCCTACCACATCTGGTGCTCACTGCCACAAGGTCATCTGAAGCTCAGCTTAGAAAAGTTGATTCGAATGTCTCTACTTAAAGAGCGACTCTACTGCTTTTACACAAAGGTGCTGGTAGACTCCAAAATCTGATAGATTTATTGTGTGATCATTTTCTCTGTAAGGTAAATTCCTCCTCTATTTGACAGTACCCATTTTAAAATTGGGGCTAGGATTCATGTACTACAGAAGGTGACATAGTACAGATTAGGGAAGAAAGAAACATGTTCAGTGGAAGTTTTTGATACATTTCTAAATATTAATAGGAGAGCACCTATTAGCTTCCTGAGTCTGTATCCTCAGTCCTGCATCTGGCCTCCAGAGGGCGATGTTTCACAACCGAGAGATCCCTGTTTCCATTTATGATCAACACCTGATCAGCCCCTCCTTCCTGCAGCTGGCTGACTGAAGCACCCTCACTGAGTTCTTTGAAGACGCGACAAGTGAGGACAATCAGGGGTCGGAAAGCACCCAAGATCATCTCAGAGATTTTTGTATTTCTACTGAAACGAGAGACTTGTCTACCCCAGCCTTACTCCCACCTCGTGTTTCCAAGAGCTGGGTTCCAAAGCCACTTTCCTGCTTGCTCAGAGGAGAATTTCCAGAAAGACGCCTGCAGCACCTCCACTGCTCAGCCATGCTCCTGTTGCTCATCCCCGTACTGGGGATGATTTTTGTCCTGAGTGAGTAACATTCAATTATGGTCTCTAGTTCCACAGAAGTAACTGTTTTCTGATTCAAATCTCAGTAGAAATACTTTTCATAGACAAGTCTGCACTGCTTTTACTGATATAACATTAATTTTTTAGGAGATGTCAGTGCCCAGTCAGTGACCCAGCCTGACGGCCACGTCACTGTCTCTGAAGGATACTCCCTGGAGTTGAGATGCAACTATTCCTATGGTGGAGCTTTTTATCTCTTCTGGTATGTCCAGTTCCCTGGCCAAGGCCTCCAGCTTCTCCTCAGATACCTTTCAGGAGACACCTTGGTTAAAGGCATCAAAGGCTTTGAGGCTGAACTTAGGAAGAGTGAATCTTCCTTCAACCTGAGGAAACCCTTTGTGCACTGGAGTGACGCGGCTGAGTACTTCTGTGCTCTGAGTGCCACAGTGCCTGGGACTGCAGGGGGAGCTGAACACAAACTTCGTGAGGTATAATTCTAGGGAGGATGACTGTGTCTGAAAGATTTTGAATTCTGACAAAGTAGAAGCCATGGTGTTCTTATTCTACAGTATGGAGGTTCTCAGGGACTCGCTGAGCTGGTGTGAGCCTGATACATTTTAAACGGTTGGATATGGGAATTGTGACATGGCACAGGAGAGTTTTGCTTTTCATTCATCATTTTGTCTTTCAATAATCCAAAATAAAAGTGAGCCTCCTTTTGTAGGCATATCTTCTTCTTACATACTTACTGCCTTCCTAAAACTTGGTCATTTTAAGGCAGTTTTCCTGGAATCTTTTTCCTGGTTCCACTCTGTGCTGTTTATTTTCTCTTTTTTTAGGTGCTCCATTTAGGAGGGAGGAGTTTGGGATGGTGAATGGCTTAGAACAATAGCATGCTCATGTAGGTTTTAGTAATTTATCGAAGAAAGAAGAGTGAATGACTCAAATTCTTTAGTATTTTTTAAAGGACTATTAAGGAGAGTGGAGATGCTAAATTTAGATGCCAAATTCCATTTATTTTACTGTAAAGCTTGTTCTATTTTTTCCAGTTATGAATATTGATTCCTATTCTTTTGATATCTTAAATTCTGCAAGTCCACATCAGAAATTTTCGAAATTGGTGGGATAGTAACTTTTGCCAATTTCTCCCAAATGCCGCTTTTGTTATCTTTTTTATTCTTATTCTATTTTCAGATGATTTCACAGTTGGAATATTAGAAATTGATTCTCATCTGTTTAACATTGATATAAGTAATGATGCACAAAGTTTAGCAATGTCTGGCCCCTGAAGATATACTGAGTAAGTATTGCAATGGGAATTAAAAGGTCAAAAGGCATGTGATAGATGTATCACTTTCCCCTGGCTTGGAGGAAAAAACTGTAAGAAGATTTCATATTCTTAAGTACCTCAAGCCTTGGAGGTTAATGACTACTTTGAAGGAAAGAGGAGGAGGAGGAGGGTTGGGCTTTTTTGTTGTGTGCTTCCTGATGCTGTCATGAGTAAGAGATTAAGATTGTAGGAAATAAAAAATATAGAGAATAATAGTAGATTGTGTCCAGTGATTTACCTTAGCCAAAGGGGACACCAATAGGAATCTATTATTTTTCAAGTCATATTAATATAGCTGTTTGTGATACATACATTTGGAGGATTTCTGGAAATGGAGTAAGATATATAAAATTCATAAGAAATTTACTCTTATTTAATCTGTCTTGTTTTTCAGACTATATTCTCTACTGTCTCTGAGGGGCTAATTATCTTTGAGACTTAAGAATACAACTCAGTTCTATGTTACAAAATTATGTCAAGTAAGTACTTTATACATTACGTATGAGAAGGAGAAGTGAAAATTTCTTTTAATTCCAAATTGAAGCTTAATATTGAGGAAATATAACTCCTGGCACCAAGGACTCCATGTACCTGGGAAAGCATTTTTCATCTTCACAGCAGCAACCCTACCCTGCCTGACATATCAAAGTCATTTTATTTATACCATTATTTTATAACTGTGAAAAACTTTACATAATACATAAATATATTAAGGGTATTTAAAACATAGTTATATTTGTCATATGAACAACTTGTAACATCTTATAAAATATTATTCATATCTCACCATATTAATAAATATAGTTATACCCAAATATAAAGTTTCACATTTTTTAAAAAAGATAAAACATTACAAATAAAACTGCCACCTCTCTTATTTCTCTCCTCAATCTCATTCCCTTCCTCCCTCTCTCAAAATAAACTTATTATGAACTCTGTTTCTCAATTCCATGTTTTTATATTTCAAATACATGTATGTTTTTAAGCAATGCATGGTGCTATATTTTATGTTTTTAAAATTTACATGGATGCCTCCCGTTGTATATGTAATTGTAAAAGTTGCTTTCCTCACTAAAAATATTTTCAAGATATAGAATAATTTATATGTATAAATAAATATATTTCATTACTTTTAATTGCTATATATGATAGTATCCTATTTTATAAATAGACCATATATCCCTTTTGGATGGACATTTGGACTGTGCAATGCTATCAGTGATAGTCTTAGGCTCAACTAGACAAATTTACAAGGCTCTATTGGCCACACAGGTACTGGCTTCCCTCATGCCAGAAGTGTTTTCAAGGGGAGTCCCCTTAGCTAACCACACGGTTCATGGACTATTCTTTTGAAACTCCTTCCTTCTCTCCGCCCATATCAAGTGCTCAGGTGCAAGGAAGCAAGACCATACAGGCCACTCCGACATAGAAACCCCATATCCCAAGGAGGAACCAATATCTATCTCCTGTAACAGTTACAAAAATCCTGCCCCAAAGCTATGGCATCCTACCAAGTAGTCACAGTTCATTTACAGATCAGGTGCAATTTATCAATTAGGATCATTTTTACCACAGCAATGCTACTTAGTAATACAGCTGACATTCTGCTTTTATTGGGTTTCCAGAGAAAAGGAGATCAAAAGTTAACCTAATTTTTTAAACGTAGAAGGAGAAAGGATTGTATTAATATTAATCTTTTATCCAAGGAGTGTTTCCAATTTTTTATTATAAAAATTCGACAAAGAATGTAATTATAAACATTTCCATATTATATATATATATAGGTGTAAAATCCTTTATGTTATACACTTGGAAGTGGCATTTGCTGGGTTATATGATTTGCACTTTCAAAAATTTGCTTAGCAATTGCCAAATGGCTATCAAAATCTTTTTACTAATTTTCACCCTTATCAGCAACATAAAAGAACTCCAATTTCCTTATATCCTTGTGAATACTTGATATTTCCTTTATCACATCCCTTCTTTTCTACCTATGTTTCCTTCATTTCTCGAATAAACTACTTGCACTCAATTCCTGTTTACAAGGTCTGCTTCCGGAAGAACTTAGCATAAGAGATTTGGTACAGAAGTGGTCATAGGAAGCAAATACATAGAAGGAGATGCTGGGATTAAATTATTCATGGCCAGATGACAACAAGGAACCCATTATTAGAAGTAGGTGGGGTGGTAGTAAGTGCTGAAAGATTGCAGCATCACAATTACTAATTACTTGTGGGGAATTGGCATGGGATCAGGTGTAAGTTGTTGCAGCAGCTTAGGTGATATCTTAAGCATTTGTGAAGTATTGCAATAATGGTAATTTTCTGTTCTGTGGAGTAGGATATTTGTTGTTAGGTGCCATCAGGGAAGAGCAAGAACAAAAAGGAACCTGCCAACACCACTGTGTCTTTCACTAATTCTAATCAATGATGATCTTCAGAAGATAATGGCTGCTTCTTCCTCTCTGCCTCCCAAATCTTGTGCAAATTCATTTTTGTACTCAGAACCGTAAAGAGAAGGGGATTTTTGGAAATGCAGTTTCCTGTGCAAACACAATGACAGAATAATTGAGTATAGAAAATCAAGAGCCGTTATCAACAAAAAGAAAACCTTAATTACCTTGAGCATATTAGACTTTCAATCCAGTGATTTCTCAATTTTTATTTTATTACATTCAGTGATACTTATTCAGGAATCATTATTCATATCTGAGTAGATGGAATGGTTGGAATCCTAGCTTCAAGAAGTCAAAGACTGTTGTTATTACAAATGGGAGATCTTGGATGGGAAAAGTTAAGGGTAGGACTAGAAGGCATGGAATCCAAAATTTTTAAAAAGTATATTAATTGTGAAATAGTAGTCACCAATTCATACTAGCAGAGTCTCACTCTTTACCTCAGTGACCAAGCAAATTTCTTGGGTCACACTCATTCAATAGCATTTATTGAGCAATTTACTAAGTACACATGACACATCTTTAGATTTTACAGTGAGGTCTTAAAGTCTTAAAACTTTCATGTACTAAGAGAAGACAACATATTTTTCATTAGCTTAATTTCCACTTTTCATGTGGTGGTTTGTTACATGTTTAGTGCCAGTATCATGAAAAATAACAAAAATTCTAAAGGGCAATTTATAAAACATTGAGTGATCATAATCTACATTCAGTTACTATCTGCTCTAATCATTACAGAGATCTTCTGACGACAAAACATAGTTGTGCTAGTTTCTCTAAGTTTAAACTAGGTTTCACTTGGTAAAGATAAGGCCATGAGTCACTGATGTGTTTGTTGCACATTATTAACAGGGCATCTTCCTTGTCCTCTTTAATACATTTCCTTGCATTGCTGGGGAAGAAACCCTCACTACATTTCCCACCATCCCCCTTTTTTCATCATTTAGTTTTAGCTCTATAAATGAGAGGCAGTTGTAGGACATCAGGAAAGTAAGGAGAAAGCATTTTCTTCTGTAGGGACTGTGTGCAGGCAGCTCAGATCACCAGGAGTGACTTTGTTTGACTTCTGGGTTTCTTCCTAAAAGTCACCCACTTTTGGTGTCGCAGGCAGCTGGATTCATCATATTTCAGAATTTCCTGTAATTAGTCTTTCCATCTTTGCTTTATTAGCCCTTCCAATAGCTGTATATCTAATTCTCTATATTAAATATCTTCTTTTTTTAAAGACCAGTCAAATGTAGTAGTGAGAAGGGGAGAAAGAGTAGAACAAGGAGTTTGATCTGTAAATGACTGTGAACAATCAATTGAGATATTAATAACTCACTACCTTCAGACTAGCTGAAATATCTTCTTTTTTAAGGGTTTTACAAGTAAACTTTATTTTTTAAAGGTTAGTATGTTCATTATAGGAAACTGAAAAACACATGATGCAAAGAACAAAGTCATCCGCAATCACAAGAAGTTTACAGTCTGATGTGTCCTTGTAGGTCCCGTGTGTGTATATACACAGCATCTACTTTTATGTGATTAAGATTGTACAGTATGTTTCATGCTTTTCCACACATAGTGAATATTCAATTTAAAATCCCAAAACTATAAGAGTATTTTGATAACCAAGGATACACTATACCAACTCAATCTGTTAGAAAAAAATGTAATCTTACCTTCCTTGGGGACAAAAATTTCATAGAAGACAACAATAGCAGAAGTCCTCTAGATAAAAGTCTTGGCAGAGTTATGATTAAAATACTGCATTCTCTCCATGCTCAATTTAAAATGAGATATAAAGCAACAGAATACAGTAAGTATGATATTTCTAAGAGAATTCTTTATCAGATCTATACCATTAAAATATTATCAAGAAGTTATATTTACATTGAATTATTTAATATATTTCTATAGTACAGCCTATGACTATCATCAAAAGGTAAATATGAACACAACTGCATACATCTTTTCCTTTAATTAATACTTCTTTCTACCTCTCTGCTGCCAAGCTAGTGAACGAGTCCTGATACACACTGCTTAGAGGTAGTTCAACAATTCCATGCTCAAGGTGAATTTTTTGTATCAATTATAACAAAAAGATATGTACAAATTGGCTAATTCACTAGCTCTACTTTTTATCATACACTGTCACCTCAGGGCATCTATGAAACTTAGGTGTTGTAAAATAATGAACTTTGTCCACAATAAACACAGGCACTTCACCAAAAATGTACATATAGACCTATGCTTCTAATCTAAAACAGTCTTCTAGATGTCAGATACTAGCAAAGAGCCCTTCCCTTCATTCTTTTCCACCATTCTAGTGACTAAGTACAGGACTGCATTCCAGCTCTAAGATGGGGATTAACATAGATCACTCACAGAAGACAGTCCTTCCTAAAAACTAACAAAAGGGCATTTATAAAGGGATTATTTTTTTTACCTCTACTTTTAACATACTTTGGAAATTAGGATTTGTTTATTTTTTAATACACAGTGATAATAACTAAAATGCACATATTGAACCATGGTTAGACAATCTAAACTAATTTAGCTCACCGGCATAGAACTCTTCTCTCAGTATACTTCCTCCTCCCCCAACCCACCACCACCCGGTGAACAGTCAGTGTACTGACATCAAGTTTAACAATTCCATCCCCCAAATGCAACCACTGCTTTGAAATAAAAAACACTTAAAGGGTGTCACTTTAGCCCTCTACTTTTAACATATGTTGTGCACTTTTCAATATCTAGAAAGACTAGATGTTTCAAATAAGAATTTAAATTTTCCACAATGCACATAGTAGCATTGAATAAACTGCACACACATAACAAAGGCTGTAATTTGAAAGTGTCTTCTAAATGGGAAGATTCTGGTCTAGAACACTTCCCTTTTCCACCAACCCTGGGGGCGATAATGAGCAAATTTTCAGAAGACAATCTTTCCTAGGAATTTTATAACAAAATATACAAAATATGAGTTTACTCTACCTTTGCCATACACTGGAAATCTCTTTGACATCCAGAAGGACTAGATGCTGTAAATTAGGACTTGTTTGCCCTTTCTATACCCTATATACGCTGATAAGTAAAATCAAAGGTACAGACATAAGGGACAATTGTTCATCTTGCCTTACTTGCTTATTAATGCAAGCACACTGGCATGGAGCTCTCTGCACTTCCTTGTCCTCCCTCTTCCCCTGAACCAGTACACAAACATAACAGGTACTACCCAAGAGGTGGTTTCTGAGACAGCGAAACCGCAGACCTTACTTAGTAAAGAGTCATAAGCCAGGAACCTAGGTCTCTGATAAAACAGGAGAGGTAGAGAAACCTGCCCAAACCAGCTGGAGCCCAGGTGGCCACTGAAAAGACCTCAGGTTATGCTCACTGCTTATTGTACACTAGTTATAGTGCATTATAATGCTGAAAGAATCTCCCACCAGAGCCATGACTTGTTGCCTTGGCAACTCCTGGAAATTACCCCATATGGTTTAAATGGGAGGGGACCCCAGGTCTGGAGACTCTCTACCCCATCCCAAGAAGCTCAAGACAATCCTCCCTTTATTTAACACACAGTCAAGTGATAACCATAAAAATAAGCTGTCAGCTGCTTGGTCTATGAGGCAACCATTTTTCTTTTTTCTTTCTGTCTCAATAAATTGCTTTCGCATTACTCTGTTCACTCACTCTTGAATTCTTTCTCCAGCGAAGCCAAGAACCCATTTCATCTTCAAGTGCACCCCAGTTTTGGGCTCCACTCTCCTGAATCAGTTTGACCATCCTCCTCCCAAACAACATTTCATATAAATTTTAATAAAAAAGTATTTATAAAATGTGCTATTTTACTAACTCTACTTTTAACATCTTTCGGGAACTTGAGAACATCTAGAAAGACTAGATATTTCAAAAAAGTATGTAGCATTGTTGAACACATACACAGTAATGAGGAATAAAATGCACACACAAAACAATGATTGCAAGATGAAAATATCCACCACAGCTGTTAGATCACCGAGGCAGGGTCTGGGAGAGAGGTTCGCCCCTGCTTCAGGGCCCAGGCTGGCCGGCGGGCATCCACGGCAAGGGCTCGGGGTGTGCAGGGCAGAGGCCGCGGTCTGTCGGGGGCGCCCCCACTCACTCACCGGCCCAGGGCGACCTCCCAGGAGCTGGCCGAGCTCCGTTTCTCACCGCGCACTCTGACGAAACTTTCTACTTAAAATGTTTGGATTTGTTTCTGTTTGGATTTGTTTCTGCTTTCCTGACTGACTTTTGACTAATACATCTGGGTAAATCCAAGTCCCTGAAGCAGATTTTCTGAGCTCTTGAAGTCAGACAGGGTGAATAAGGCTATTATTAGCTGGGACTTAGCTTAAGCAACTTTTTTTTTTTTTGGTCATTAATCATGGAGTTCTACCACATTCCACTCAAGCCTACTGGCACAATTCGTGAATGACATTCATCTCCTTAGGAACTCATGGTGTAGGAAAACACATTCTCTCAAAGCAATGGAGGGTTGCAACAACACAAAGGACAAGGTTGCCTTGGAAAAAGTAAACGAAATGGAAAGTGAAGCTGCTTACCTGGTATTTCTGCTTAGAGTTTAGGTAGAGTGGGTTAATAGCAATGCACAAGGCAAGGAACCAGGAAAAGGAGGAAAACACTGCTTGATCACAGAGATTTGACACAGGGTAGCAGGGAAAAAGGAAGAGAGCTATGAGTATAAACCTAACCAATATCCAGACCTAAATTTTCTACCCAAGTCTGTAGCTTGTTATTGTTCACACCTTGATGCAGGACAGTGTAGCTGCCTTTTCTGAATTTGTGTAGAGTGAGCTTTCCAGGAAGCACAATGAAAAAGGCTTCCATGTTGAAAAATTAATGTTAATAGGGCTTTACAGAAAAAAGGCATTTTTATCACCAAGCTTGTCCTGTGAACATTAAGAGATTTTTGTTATGCGTTGAATGAGCAAGAGTAGTGAGAGCAAGCAGCATTTGTTTTAGCTACTGTGACTTCAGTACTACCATGAAAGGGACTGGTTTTAAAAATCTGTTGGAATTGGAGGCTTTTCCCATACTGAGCCCAGAAGTGCTTCACTGAGACCTTGCCTGTCCACTTGGGTCAGTGCTCCCAAAGATTCTTTGGTAAATTTGTATAACATTGCCTGCATCACAAGCCACCTGACAAATTTTTAATTTCCAGGACCTTAATTCTGAAGATTTTGATTTTATAAGTAAGTGGAGAGATCGCCAAATCTGTATTTTAAGTTGATCACCAACTAACTCTTACATACGAAAAAGTTTCATCCTTGCTGTAAGATGCTTCTGCACATCAGAAGACATGTCTCTATCGATCCTGGAACTGAGACTGAGTTTCTTCTTTGGTCTTTTGATGCAAATCCGTATTGTATGAGCATCCTCTCCTGTGGTAAAAATAACTATTGGTCAACAATGTTGGCAGGTGGACATATGTAGAGAATATACTTAAGGCAAACTTTCCACTAAAAATTTAGTATCAGAATGCTTTGCCTGACGTACACAGGCTGCTAACATTATCTGGGAATCATTAAGGAGAAGAAAGTAAAGCCAGATAATTTTATAGGTATTCAACAACTTTAAGTACTGGATTTTCTCAATACTAAGAGTTTTTCACTTTTTAATCAATATATATGCAATATAGAATTTCCATTTTTCTTTGAAAAGCTTTTATTAAATTGTATTTCTTACAATTGTCTTATTTTTTTGTCACCCTTCCCACCTTATAATTGTCTTAAATGTGAAGCAATATGGTGTTTCAAGTAGTAGCAATTCCTCAACCAAAGACTATTTATTCATTCATTTGTGCATTAAAGAACAGTTTGTTAACTACCTGCTAGGTGTTTAACATTGTTTTAGATGTGGGAATAGAGTAGAGACTTAAACTTATTTTCAAAAATAATTGTTTTTGAAAATAAGTTTAAGTCTCTGCCATCTCAAATCACATACTAATGATTAAATGACTGTTATTGATATTCTTCTGATTTTATTCTAAAACTTGCTTATATAATATTGCAATGGATCAGAGGGTTGCTAAAATTGGCTGAATAAGAAAAAAATGAATTCTTTTCAGAAATTCATAGTCTGGAGCTTCCGTGTCAGACAATGTGCTGGGAAAAAAAATAGGATTATTAAAAATACCAACTATTCTTTAGATTTACAAAGGACAATCAGACAGCTAATAGGTGTCATAGACAAAAAGCCAGAGGTGAAGATAAAGGACTGATTTTTGAGAGAACAGATCAACAATCCTCTGAGTTAGTATCTTGCCCACAAGGGGGTGCATTTTCCTAACACACGCACATTTCCTGCTTTAATTCTGAGCTCACATTCATCCTTTCACTGGTACCTTAACCTTTCCTTGCACTAAGGAGTCAAGATCCAAGGACCTCAGAGGCTCTAAAAATGAACTCTTCCCCAGCACCAGTGATTGTACTACTCTTAATGGTTGGTAAGTAAAATAGGGCTTAAAGCATAGAGTCTTTTGTTCTATTACGTTGGTGTAATCCTTAACCACAATTTTTCTCTAAGTGGTAAAGCCCAGATCATCCCTTAGGTAACTTGCACTGTTATTATTAATTTTTTTCTTCAGGAGGAAGCCATGGAGACTCAGTGACCCAGACAGATGGCCAAATGCTCCTCACTGAAGGGGATTCTCTGATTGTGAACTGCTCCTATGAAACCAGGCAGTACCCTGCTCTTTTCTGGTATGTCCAATATCCAGGCGAAGGTCTACAGCTCCTCCTGAAAGCTGCGAAGGCCAATGATAAGGGAATCAACAAAGGTTTTGAAGCCACATATAATAGAGAAACCACCTCCTTCCACTTGGAGAAAGCCTCAGTCCACGTGTCAGATTCAGCTGTGTATTACTGTGCTCTGAGTGACACAGTGACAGGAACTGCAGGGGGAGCTGAGCACAAACTCTGAGCAGCACAAGGGGCCTGGCTGCTGAGTGTCTGACTCTGTGACCCACTCTGGTTTAGGGACCAGAAACTAGTGTACTGCTGTGTTATCCAGCACTCACCCCAGGTACTCTTAGTGTGAAGGTCATCCAAATCAACTCTAAGAACACAACAGAACAGCAAAGAGTAAACATGCCTCACACAAGATGCTTTAACAGTGAAAGCAAAAACAGAGTCTGTCACCATAGTTCCTCAGTCATGCCTGAAATTTGTGATTTTAAAAGTGTAAAACCTTTAGATGAATGAAATTATCTATGTGTTTACCCTTGCATACAATTCTAGCCCCTTGACCTTGTCCCAGATCATCTGAGGAAACACTGTGTTTATAGACACAGCTGTGGCAGATGAGGTTGCAAATGCTTGATGTCACCTTGACAAGCTGGGGCAAGAAGGGGTGATTTCTTAGGGAAGCTTCAGCCCAAGAAATAATAGTTCCTTAAAGGAAAAAAGAAATCTAAGAAAGGAAGGAGGGGGAAAGAGTCCGTATGTGACCACATATGTGGAAAAAAAGACAGAATATTTCTTAGGTTCTTTTTTGGGAAATTACATATCATACACAGACTAATGTTCTTCAAAAGAAGTGACTCATGTCTGAAAGTTGTAGAAACCTCCAACCCTCCATAATACCTTAGTTAGGTGGCTTTCTATCAGCAAGATGTTATTTAAGCTAGATAGACAGTGTCTGCAGAAGGAAAACTCTATGGAGATGAAATTCTTTATCTGTAGATTTGTGGAGAAAGGGAATCCTATAGCTTCTCCAATGTTTTTCAAGCCATTTTTTTCTACAGAAGGGGAATAACATATGGAGTAGGAGATGGTGCCTAGGGCTACGAGAAGAGGGTGGCAAAGTAGAAGAATCTTTGGTTTTAATTGCAGATATCTTGGTGTCTTTGAAAATATTGGAGATTTGCTTGTCTATTGCAGGTGATTAACATATATTAGTTTATTTACCCATATAGAGTACATTTTGCTTATAAGAAGGGTCTTCGAGCACAAAACGTGAGAATAAAAGGATAGTATGTATGAGTCACTGTTTCAGAGGCTACAGAAGAATGCAGTTGTGCAGAAATCATCACTGTCATTGAAGAGAACTTGCCTATAAATCCTTCATTTTTCATAATTATCTTTTCGTAGTTTTCACTCTTACCTTTTTCTTTTTTTCAGAGCCCCTCCCCCCATAGGTCTTATTGGTTAATAGAGCTAATACTCATACAAAACAAATAATTTATGCACACAGGAAAAACAACTTTAGATAGTAAAAATGACTATACAAAAAGTCTCTGACTTTTGGCTGAATTTGGCAGATTGAATATATATGTTTACCTCTGCTCCCTCTGAAACCCCAACAAAATGAAACTAAGGGTATTTAAAAGGCAAAATTCCACGAGCACAAAGAAAATGGAAAAGGAGAAGACAGCAGATGAAATGTCAGCAACATCTGAAAAGGTGAAAAAGAGTTGTAAAAATGATAACAGACTGAGAAAACTTGAGACATGTGAAACCAAAGTTTGCAGAAGGGGAATCTAGGAAGAAGCCTCCTGATTTGTATGGCAGCATTCTAGCAAGGCCCAGGAATTGGAAGCAACAATTACCTTACATTTGAATACTGGGAAAAGATGATGGCATGGAGGGAGGGGTAAGTGGTTGGGATTAAAATGAGAATTTTTAAAAAGATTTTATAAGCAGCAGTTAAACCCCCATGTCCTCTACTATCTTGTACAACAGTCAACTCTCACTCACCAAATACAACAAGAGATTAAAGTTTTACTCTTTAAAAGCAACCTCTAGTTTGGCGGACTTCAAGTAAGTCTGAGGGCAAAGTTAGGTGTCAAATTGAAAGTAGGGAGTTACATGAATTTCTGTGTTCTGAATTGGGACACCTTCTTTAGCTTTTATTTGGATTTCTCTAAGTATATATGTGGCAAGAGGGTTACTGGAGTATTCCTTTCTTTGAAAATTGATGATAAAATAGCCTTTCTTTAGTCTGCCACACACATAAACCTTAATTAGCTTTTTAGTTCTCAACGGAAAAATAAGCAGTCAGAGATAACCAGATTGTTTACTTAAGTCTCTAATGGGAAGAACAGAGACAAAGAAAGAAAAAAAAAACTCAAAAACAAAACAACAACAAAAAAACAAGAACAAAGACCCAAAAATGACTCAGAGGGGGGCAGAGGCAACGCAAGTGGAAGAAGAAAATAAAATCAAAACTAAATCAAGCCAAAACGAAAACACGGAGGAACCAGAAAGCAAGAGGAGGCTATAAAAAGGGACATTTCTTTAAGCAAATAGAAACTTTAGAACATAAAAAATATGATAGCAGAAAAAAAGGAAGAAGAGAGTGAGGATAAAGCTTAGATTGGGGTGGGTTTAAGAGATAACAGAAGCTAGGAATTAGATGTAGCAGTATAGACAACCAACTCAAGGAATTTTGCAGAAAGATGAAAAGAAAAATAGGGATAAATAGATAGCCACATGCAAAAGGATGAAGTTGGGCCCTTTTTAAATACAATGTATGAAAATTGTCTAAATGGATCATATACTTGAAATATAACAGCTAAAATTATAAGTAAACATAGGAGTAAATCTTCATGACACTGGGTTGGACAAAAGCCCTCTTAGATATGACACCAAAAATGCAAGCAACGAAACAAAAATAAATTGGATTTCATCACGATTAAAAATATTTGTGCTTCTAAGTACATCAATAAAGTTAAGAGGCAAACCAAAAAGAGAGAAAATATTTGCATGTTATACATTTCATTAGGCAGCTTCATCCAGAATATGTAAATAATCTCTTACAACTCAATAATAAAAAGACAAATAACCCAATTTAAAAATGAGCAAAGGATCAGAATAGACTTTTCTCCAGAGATGATATGCAAGTGGCCAATAAGCACATGAAAAGATGCTCAACATCATTAGTCTTTACGAAAATGCAAATCAAAACTACAATGAGATATCACTTAATTCCCACTAAGATGGATAATATTAAGGACAGATAATATAACAAGTGTTGACAAGGATGTGTATAAATTTGAAACTTCATGAATTGCTGATCAAAATGCAAAATTGTGCACTTCTTTGAAAAAGAGTAATTCTACTTATAGGTATATGCCAAAGGCAAATGAAAACATATACCCACAAAAAATTGTACACAAATGTTCACATCATCATTATTCATAATAGCCAAAAAGTAGAACATCCCAAATATCCATCAGTTGATGAATAGAAACAATAAAATGTAGTATATCCATACAATGTAATATTACTCCACAATAAAAAGGAAATACTGATAAATACTGTAAAATGGATGAATTTTGAAAATATGTGAGAATAAAAGAAAGAAGCCAGCCACAAAAGACCACATATTGTATGACTCTTTGTAAATGAAATGTCTAGAACAGACAAATCCACAGAGACATCAATTTTTCACTGTATCTATACTTCTAGTTGCCTAGGAGGTAGAGAGGTGGGGGTGTTGGGAGGGAAATAGGGTGACTGCTAAGGGAGCATTAAGTAGGGTCTCGCCTTTTTATCCACTCTGTCAATCTCTGCCTTTATATTGGCAAGTTTAGACAATTAAAATTTAATATAAATATTGAAGTCATTGGTTGGATTTAGGCATACTATTTTATTATGATACGTTTCACCCATATGTGTTTTTTGTTCTCCTTTCCCTTTTTCTTGGCTCCTTTTGGATTATTTGAATATTTTTTAATATTACATTTTAATTTATCTATTGGCTTTTTGGCTGTATCTCTTTGTACTTTTTTGAGTAGTTTCTCTGGAGATTATAAGATAAATGCTTAACTGTTCAGAGTGTATTGAGTTAATATTGTACATCTTTACATAAAATGTAGAAATCTTGCACAACACGTCTCTTTATCCACCAACACTGAAGTCTGAACTATAGTTGTTCATGCATATTACGTCTACATACATTGAAAACTTCAGTGTGCAATGTTATGATTTTTGCTTTAAACAAGTGAATGTACTTTATAAAACAAAAGGGAGAATAAGAAATATTTTCTATTTAACAGCTGTTTACCATTCTGGTGTTCTTCCTTTGTTTCTGAAGATTCAAATTTTCCTCTGACATCAGGGAATGTGTCTAAAATACTGAAACATCGTTCAGTATTTCTTCTAGAGTAGGTCTGCTGGCAACTGCAGCTGATGCTTGAACAACACGATATGAACTGCACGGGTCCACGTACACTCCAATTTTTTTCAACCAAATGTGGATCAAAAATACAGTATCTGTGGGATGCTAAATCCTCGAATATGGAGGGCCAATTTTTCCTATATGTGGGTTCCGCAGGGCTAATCGCCAGATTTGAGGATGTGCTGATTTTGGTATACACTGGCGGTCCTGGAACCAATATTCTGTGTATGCTGAGGGACGACTGTATATTTTTTACTTGTCCTTTATCTGAAAATGTCTTTATTTCACCTTTACTTCTGAAAAACATTTCACTGGATCTGTAATTTTGCATTGACATTTCCCCTCCTCACTTTAAAGAAGCTGTTTCATTGTCTTATGGATTCACGTCTGATTTGGACATTTTAAAAACTGGTTTCTCAGTGAAGTAATTTATTACTCGGTTTTTACATGACATCCTATTTCTTATGGACTTTGGGACTAATACACCATTACAGATTTGGGAAGGAAGAAACTTGTGGAAATTTTTTGTTTTTAAAGTCAACAGATATTTATTGTGGTCCAACATATACAAGGTACTTTTTCTAAGCACTTGGGATATATCTGTGAACAAAACAAAATTATCTTCGGTTTTGATACATCTCAGAAAATAGGCACACTAATGAGCTCTCTGTGCTAAACTCTGATTCTGCACCTGGCCTCCAGAGGGCGATGCAGCACAAACGAGAGATCTTGCTTCTGTTTCAAATCATCATCAACTGCTCAGGTCCTCCTCCCTGCAACTTGCTGAGTTCTTTGCAGAG